GGCTTGTTTGCTTACGTTGACATGCATACCACCCGTATTTAATAACAGAACTCGTGTCCTATCGTCTACTTTACTTGATATCACAAACACTACCGTATTTGTTTGCTTTTGAGGATAGGTTACCAAATCGAAACCGTTTAGGTTAGAAGCATTGTTACATTTGTGATATGCACATTAAAATATCTGTTTTATAATTATGTTACAGCAACGTAAGTTATTAAACCGCATCATGAAAACCTATAAATTTTTTTAATAATAAAAGTAAAAATTTTGAAACGAAATACATTTTTGGAATATTTTTTAATTGAACACCAATGAAACTTTATAAGGGAAAGTCCATTAAGATCGGTGGCCGCTAACTTGACCAACGTGGTCTCGTAAAATTCTCGTTCCGCATATGAACAATATTTATGACTCTTAATTATTATAATAGTGCACTAGTATATTGAATTTTGTACTGGCCAAACTGACTTTCATTATAATAAAGGTTTAGAAGATAATACATCTATATATTGTCTTGAAAAACAATTACCAAGGACTTAAGTAATGTCAAGAACACAGCTAAATTACTGCCTATCGTAAAAAGACGGTTAAACTTTATTTGAAGGATTATGATATTTTTATTGCTCTAATAGGTGAACCAGCTCGTAAACCAACTTATGCCCATTGGAACCTGGAGTTCACATACATGATAGCGTGAATGCCGTCCACCAACCTTGAGAAATGATGTCGAAGTCTCAATTATTCGTTTGACGGCTGTCTCCTACCCGTCAAACCCGAAAGCATGACTGTTTCGCGACAAGCCAAGACAGGATAGCGTTACTTGTCCAGGACCTAATATATGTCGTACCATCCGTGTATGAAAACCGAACTATTAAGAAAACTACGCATCAAAGTTTTGAACTCTCTTTAATATCAAGTAGATGACCGTGCTTTGCTCGGTATTTTTTTTCCCTAAATTGTGTTTTTTTATAAATTATATTTAAATACGATTTACAAATTGATATTATATAATATTATTTGTTATTTCCTTTTAATAAAAAAAACAAGTTTATGTTTGTTGATTATCGATAAAGTTAATTATTGAAAACACGAATAATAAACCAACATTTTCTGAAAATAAATCGTAGCTAGATCGATTTATCGTCCCCGAAATCTCCTGTATACAAAATTTTATGAAAATCGCTGGAGCCGTTTCTGAGATGTAGATTATATATAATCGCGTTTATAATCTCGATTATATATAATATAATCTATAAAATTATATATAATATCTCGTTTAAAGATATAAGATTATGACTAGGAATATACAGGATGTAAATTAATCAAATTTAACGTGTGAGGGATCCGGGGCATTTTTTGTCGATTTTAATCAGAGACAGTAAAAAATTTCATATTATCCATTTCATATATACATAACAAAATATACTTGAATATATCTATGAAAGAAATGTACAAATTTTNTATAAAATTATATATAATATCTCGTTTAAAGATATAAGATTATGACTAGGAATATACAGGATGTAAATTAATCAAATTTAACGTGTGAGGGATCCGGGGCATTTTTTGTCGATTTTAATCAGAGACAGTAAAAAATTTCATATTATCCATTTCATATATACATAACAAAATATACTTGAATATATCTATGAAAGAAATGTACAAATTTTCTTTTATATCGAATTCATTATGTTCATTCACAATTAAAAAGATAATGTTGTGCTAGTTGTGAGTTAAGTGCGAGCTTAACAAAAACGCCTATGAAATGTCTTAACTAACCGATACCTACTCAAGTAACTAGCTGCCCTTGACGTTCTTACATTCGATCACACTAACCCATACTCAATTATAATAACAATAACGTAATCAAATTTTATTACGCCATCTCCGCATAAACACAGTTTAGATGAAACGCAGTTGAAGATAATCCACGAAGAGGATTTGAAATTTGAATGGCTTTAAAGTTTTGTTTCTTATTTTTGTTAAGTTTTCTTTGTCGTGTTTTAAATATGAAATCAATATTTTTGCAATTTTTCCTCTTGAATAAAAAGAGCGGTTACTGTTTAATATTGCTATAACCGACTCGTCTGTAAATACGAAAACAAAACGTACTGTCAGTAAAATAATGTACAATCCGAGGTTGACCGATAAAGTTTCGAAGGGTAAAGCATGATTTGAGCACGCGTTTATGGTGTCCGAATAACAACTCTGCCTACCAAAATTCACTGTCACCGAAATCACCAAACTGGCATAACTGGCACAAATTGGCATTATTGGCAATTATATTAGCTGTAACTATAACAGTTACAGTTACTTAGAACTTAGAGTAGTTACTTAGAGTGAGTCCGCACGGGTAGGTTCCACCGCCCTGCCTATTTGTTTGAAGGGCGGGGCAGCCGTTGTAAATATACCGAGACCTTAGAACTTATATCTCAAGGTGGGTGGCGGATTTACGTTGTAGATGTCTGTGGGCTCCGATAACCACTTAACACCAGGTGGGCTATGAGCTCGTCCACCCATCTAAGCAATAAAAATAAAAATAAACATCAAACAAAACTTCTCCATAATTTTTTGTGTTTCAAAGCTTAGATCGCTGTTGGAAAGTCTAATGTTTTTATGCTGGCTCACTAATGAACCTTATGAACCAATTCTTTGATAGTTACATAATTACTTTGTTCTAAAATCTTCAGTTTTTTCGTTTTTCCTTGACAAGTATGAAGTCATCAGTGGTCTTTACATTGTTTGCTTTCGTATGACCTTTAAATTATGCAGTGGTTCAACGTAGGCAGTCGGTGGTACAAAACTTTTCAGAACTTATTTTGCATTATGAATTTATCTAATGCTTACAACTTTGTAGTCAATGTTGTCGTACACATATTTGTACACATACCTACTTAGGGACTCGATCGTGGCCTAGTTACCATTTCTTCTAATTATCAAGTACAACATGTGTTCATGATTTACTTCTAATAAACTGAATTGCAAGTGATTGATAAACCTTGATTAGTAATTTAAAAGGTGTGGCTTTTATGTGTGTTCTAACTTTGTTACGTTTTATAAGATAAAAAGTGCGTGCGTACAAAGTACACATGTCAGAAGTGAAACTTTTTTGGTGAACTAATTTCTTAAGAGTCTTGCTTATATTTATACAAATCTAAAACTTTAGATTTCCGAAACTTAGAGGAAGGGAAAAAGGAAGATATGTTCCCGTCAAAAATCTGTCAAATGTCAATCTCAAACCTCAATGTTGAGAGTCACATTATGTTTAGATTTCTAAATTGTAAATGACTAATATTTTGCCAATTGAATTGACTAATTTAATTTCATGCTATTTGATTAATGTTCCAAATTCTTTTCATTTCATTTCAATTCCTATTAACATTTTTCACAAGAAAATTATAAGATATTGGCTGTATGGTATGATACATTTGCCTTTTCAGTTGGAAAAATACAACAACTACTACTACTGACATTTGACAAGTACTTAATTTCAATAGTAGTTTGACGTCACTTCCGTTGCATACCTGTGTGACGTTCTGTAAAAATTTTACCCTCATTTCATTCAATTTCACCCCTCAACCTAAAGAAGTTTCACTTCAAAAAGTGGTCACTATTTACAGTTTACTGGTAAATTTCGACTGTCTCAATGTGGACTTGAATGACGTGTCGAATAATAATTATTAATATTAATTAGCCGGTATCTTGTTTTTCTCGATCGTGTCTGAAGCTAACTGTCAATACAAAAAACATTCTTGTTAACAATATCACTAAAGACATTTATAGAAAAGCCTGTATAGTGAATATTGTATTTTGCTTTAATTTAGCAAATGCGTTTCAGATGAAAAACAAATTATCATTTGAAAATCTAAATGTATTCCGCAGGTATTTTTAACTCTTTTAACTTAACACACTTGATAATAAATATAAAATGATGATGATATCTTATCTGTATTAATTTGACTTTTTTAAATAAAGTATAGGAGGTTTTCGTAAATATCACTTTGTGAAAACCAGTTCGCGGTGTCCTGTGGTTCTATATAATCTGTCGATAACGTACGAGTGTTTTTATTTGTTTTTGCGGTTAGGTTTGGCAAGTCTCTTTAGCGATCAAACACGATGCGTTTACTTCGAGGCTTTTTATTGCTATTGCAGTAATTTTAATAACATCGTATGACGTAAAATGACGACCGACAAAATATGTTCTCGCGTCGCCAAAAAATAACGAAGAAATAAGAGTTTTGAAATTTATAACTGTTTTCGAATTTTCTAGATGTAATTGGTTGTGATCAGAACGTATTAACGTTTTTTTTTTTTCTAGAACACATTTCGGTGTTTGATATCGTGAACACTATATTATATGTACGTGCATATGTGTTAATGCCTTGATAGTAACAAACTTATTAAAACTAATATTCATAGAATTGTTATTACATTTACTTTACTTTTTGTGGATTTACATAAAACACTACATTAAATCTTAATCAGAGTTTTTTTTTCTTAATATCAGAAACCACAGAACATTAAAATTCGTTCAACTATTGTCGTAATGTATCAGATAACAAAAATAAATTCTTATATCTAAATCATATTATACATATTATAATATACTTATTAAACACATGCAAACCAAAAACACCCAAAGTATTTCCAAGCAAATTTCTAATATCAACTTGAACACAAACATTTTCGAAAAACAAAATATATCAATATATACAACTTCAACGAATACCGATTGAAGGTCACAATACATTTGCATTCAATGTAGGTATTGCCAATTTTCGTATAATTTTGGAACATAACTAATCGACATGACTGCAAATGATGACACTACATGTAACTGTACTTTAGCTATTGTAAAAGAGAATGCGTTTAATTGTAACATCAATTTAAATTTAAAAGACAATTAAATGTTTGTATTCGCACAGAGGATATTGCGTGTGCAATCAAAACAAGCGATAGTAAGCTTGATAAGGAGATAAAACGTTACTTCAACGAACCTATAGGGATATTCCAGGCACGTAGATTTAGCCCTTTCCTGCTATTGTTTTATTGGCACTGTTTTTTTTTTGTTATTTAACCGGTGGTTATTTAACTTCGCGACGGTTTCTGAGCACGTGCGTCGTGTGCGTACACGTTCGCGATACACGCGTGCGACAGGTGCGGTTGCCGCAGCATCCGCAGCGGCTCTGTTTCGAATGTCGCCACGCGTCGAGCGTACGCGCACCTCCCCGCCTTCCAAGTTACTGAATCTCTGCCTGAAGCCTAGACGGCTCGTAGCTTTTCAGACGTCTATGGTTTAATTAAATTTTCGTATGCCGTGAAATTTTGAAAAGTATTTCATACGTACGTATTGAAAAAAGGTTAAAAGGATAATCGTTGATATTATGTAAGGGTAATTGTTACTTTAACTCTGCCGTGTAGCAGTATTTCGTTTCGGTTTGAAAGTTAGGGCAGCCGTTGTACTCTAAAAACGGAGACTAGAACTTATGACTCAAGGCGGGTGGCGTCATTTAGGCTATTGATGTCAATGGGTTCCACTAACCACTTGAAATCAGGTGGGCCGTGATCTCGTCCACTCACCTAAACAATAAAAAAATATGTTAAAAATTGTGTTCGGTTATGTTTTCCGATGTTCGGAATATCCTTAATTGTTCATGGTAATCGGCAATAGTATTTGCATTTTTTTTTTTTTTTTTTTTTTTTTTTTTNAACAACACGATGGGACGGTACCCGGCGGCAGTATCCGCCGGGCGCCCCTCCTTTCTCAACAGCACAAGTCTGCCCGTCCTCCACGATGAAGGAAACCGTCCCGACTCGAGGCAGGAGTTATAAAGCCTCAAGAGTCGGTCCCCTAGGGCACCAAGAGCCAAGGCCCAAACCCGGCCATGGACGCCGTCCGGGCCAGGTGCAGTGTCCTTGCATGCTCCATAATACTCACCTGTATTTTGTTTGTAAAAATGAAATTACGATTTTTATGCAATGTATTTGTTGAACTCGACTCAAGCTACAATTAGATATTATTAAAATGTTACTCATTGACTTTCACTAGAAAACATGTTCATTAACCATTAGAACTTTAAACTAAATATCAGCTGTGAACGCGTGAGAAAGTTCAACGCATATCAACCATAAAATTGTACATTACCTTCCTATAAATGAGTCCCTTGATTCAAAGTTCATTAATAGAAGAAGAATATCTTTGTTTCAGTCACGAGTAGGTATTAAGTAGTGAATAATGTCTTCATAGCAGCAGTTACGATTTACTAGGAGTGTTGTCCGTCGTATCTGCGGTTTTATCTTTTTGAAAGTGTCGACGAGCCTCACCTAATCGTTTTTCCTAATAAATACGGGTATAGTAAAATATCAGTCTGAGAATAGCAACTTGTTTGGATCAGTAAAGTGCCAAAAAATGAGAACCATTGTTAGACGGGCAGTTAACAATATTTAGACGGGCTGAGAGTAAAATTTAACTCGCGACAGATTCGTTACGGCTAGAGAGAAAAGATACAATTTAGGAAAAGCGAGAGTGAGAAAATAGACAGAGCATCTCGCGAACCACTCGAACGTGGAAAGAGGGAAAGGCCATAGCTAGCTTGTTTCTCTTGTACACAGCATCCCCTATTAGAAGAGTAATTGTCATTGCAATTTAAAATAGAACTCATGAAGTTGTTTAGGATAACGACCTAACACCAGAAGAGCTCATGGTTTCGTCTTCTGCCCACCAATGTTTATCGAAGTATATGAAGAGATTGTAGCAAGTACTTAGGTCAATTGCCGTTATTGCATCACGATGTAAAGAAGCTCCCGAATCATCATCGATCATCTTTAATCAATATTGGTTTTATTGCTACTCGCTGTTGTATAATAAGCATAATATGCACTTTCCCTTCGATGAGTGTGTCGAAAATTTGATTTCTTTTAGCGTGACTTTAAAAATATTTATGTATTAAAAACTTCGTGTCGTAGCTGTTACAAATGTTGTTAACGGTCATAATTCAGCATCGACTTTAAATTTGGGAAAATCGACCGAGGCTTCATCACATTTGTGTAACGGAATGAACGTGTATTTAAAGTTTTTTTTTTTTAAATAACATATTGACACACACTGCCGATATTAATTTTGATGGAAGCCACCTAATGTAGCATTTCTTCCGGTAAGATGTTCTCAAAAGTCATATAAAGTTTATTTCTGTAGGGAACGTTACATGAAACACCACTCAGAAATACTTATCGCGCTAGAAGACATGACTTTTGTTAGTTTAAATGAATAACTGTTATAGCAGTTTTGCCATTCTTTCATCGTTTACATTAGGCTTTTATTATGTGGCTACGTTGATCCTTATTTGCAAATTAATTAAAAACTCGTTAGTTGGCACACAGTTATAAAGCGCACATACTTTAAGATAAGTCATAGTAAAAGTTGTAACAATCTTATTATTATATCTTTAAATGAGCAATTATTGTATAAAAATATAATACAAGAATATACAAATATATATAATCTGAAACTCGGAAACGACTCCAACGATTTTCATAAAATTTAGTATACCTACAGCCGATTGCGGGGGCGATAAATCGATCTATTGTTTTATTTGTGTTTTCAATAATCAACATTATCGATAATCATCTTAAACAAACTTTTTTTTTTATTTAAAGTAAATAACAAATAATATAATATAATATGAATATGTAATTCGTATTTAAATATAATTTCTAAAAAACACAATTTATCAACAACAAAAAACTGAGCAAAGCTCGGTCATCCCCTAGTGTTTGTATTAACCGACAAATAAAAAATGTATGACGATGTAGAACCTTGTTATATTCTTTCGGCCCTTTGCATTTTTACTCATACAAAAGTAGTTTGATTTTAACTTGGCCAGTATAAAGCATGAATGAACCGGCTCTACGAGCTTCAAGTGATGCTATTATTGGCATGCGGCAATTAGCCAATGATGTTTGTTTTTTTTTTTCGGTAAATTGAAAGTTCCATCTCTGGTAAACCACATTGTAAACGCATTTCCTCTTTCTGTTCTCCAAAGGCAATGTCATTGAAATTCTTGAAACTTAAAAAACAATGCGTGTTTTATTTCTTGCATTTCTATGAACAATGCGACTTATGTTAATTTCCCGACGCGGTCCAAGTGTGAAGCATTGTGAAAACTGCTTAGCTGTCCATACACTATTTCAAACAAAGTATCTGGTTTGATTCACTCACATGAAATAAGACTCCGACATACGAGTGCATTCTCAATAAATTGTGGATGTCATTTCGATATAACAATAACAATGATTATAATATCTACAATATCCTGTATCAGCGCATTTCTTGTAATCCAAAGTACACACAATCACTGTAATTAATTGAATTACAAGAAACAGTCATTTTTTTGTGTCCGATTTAACAGGCGATTCATGTTCATTGTACCGTTTGATTCGAGGATTATTCTGCTTTCCAAAACATGACGGCACACGTCAATTGTTCGTTAAGTCGCGAAGCAATTTATCACTAGGGGTCTCGTGGCGTCATTTCCCTTCGTCGATTTAAATTAAAATTTATGGGACCGTCTTGATTCTATGGGATATTTGAAAATATTAAATCATACGGTAGATTCGAAGTCCATATTAAGGTATTAGGAATCATTTTCCGCAATAAAATATCATTCGCCGATTAACAATCTAAGCCCTAGAAAGTTCACGTGCTAGCTATCTTAGTCTAATAGTTGTCGTTAGGTTTTATATGCTCGGATTATAGCTGGGTATGTTCTTGAATTATACCTCGGTTGTAGTGCTCCGAGTGTCTAATTAGCTTTGAAATATTCATCGGGACGTATAAGGTGCATTTTCTAAGCCATTTTCAGAATAGAAAACATTGGCTGCGATTTATGTTAAATCGAGCATCTTTTTATTTATTTAAGTTCACTGACTTTACACTTACAATCATTACACATACAATACAGGTTAAGTGTTCAATTCAACAACAACAAAAAACGTTGTTTTAGACCATGATATTGCCTACATATACCTTATGTTAGATAAAGTAATTATTTACAATGCCCATACAGTGATTGTAGTTTGAAATCAACGAATCAAACCTTTAACGGTTGACCATTTATATCAATTGTCAGTGATTTATCGATGTTATCGGTGTACACAGCTTTTTGTCCACGGCTATGTAGAGTATACCAGTATTTTGTAGAGCGCGCATTCAGTTACACGAAAAACATATAATAATTGCTGATCACGAGCCGAGGCCGAAGCCTCGTCTTGTCCGAAATGATGTGTGACTTTATCGCGTAAATCGATTGAATGACCGATTAATTGTTGAACGTTTTTACAATTCACGATTATTATCTTAGCGTTACGATCGCCATTCAAATTGTGTTAATTTTAAATTTCAATTTAAACGCGGGTTAAAATATTTTTACCGAGTATTGTATTTTAATGACGTAGTCTTACATTTTAATTTTTATGATTGTAATAAAGCGTTATGCAGTATACTCGATTGAAATTACACTGCTTTATTGGTTCGCTTTCAAACAGACAATGTTTCTATGTTCGGTTAAAGATACCGACACTTTAAAGGGGGTGATGACTGATACTCGTGTATACAGAGTAGCAAGTTTATTATAATTAAGTGCTATTGGATTTATGCTTTAGAGTTAGTGTTATAGTACATGAAACTTAGTGGATAATAAATGAAAACAGCCACAGTTGCGATCTTCGACGGCTTAAGCTGGTCAAGGTCTAGTCTTGTGTGTCAACGCGTGTACATATGTGTACGAGGTGTGCAGAAGTTGACATTCGATCACGCCTGTAAACGCTACGGTTTTAATATGATAATGCGACAGGTCCGCCTTTCTGTTGCTCGTGGGAATCGTTCACCGCAAGCCGCACGACAAACTTTAAAGGTTTAATTATAATCGTTTGGCTACCGACACACATGCGCCGCGACTGGTTCCAGCAACTCGACCCGCTGATTCTCGATCGGAGCAATAACTAAGCCCAGTTTCGATTTGAATGCATCGGTTTACGACTCCGTAGTAATTTACAACGGCCGCTGCAAATCGCGACTTTTGAGAAGAAGTCAATAGTTTAACCTACTTGGAAATCTAGTAAAGCTTAGTGGTATCCGGTTTCTTAAATGAAAAGTTTTTCCTTGGAACGAGACGTACGAATGATCTGCACGACCATTAATTTGATTCATTGCTAATAGTTGTGTAGTTTATCT